AAAAATTTAAAAAGACATACTTCAACATAAGAATGTAGGCACAAATATAAATGAAAAGTATATCAAAAAATTTCTGTGCTTGTCTTTTGTTTCTACTTGTGAGCTTTTCTGAGTGTAAATGGCCAAACTGGACTAAGTAGAATCTCCGAGAAAAAGCTTTTATGTTGGCTGCAATTGTAAAGAAATAACACAGTTCAACTACAGATGAATGGCCATAGATTGCCAATGTTAACAGCCACAACCCTAGAGTCCAAGTGTTGCAATGAAAAATCATGATATTCTTTTTTAGAGACTGCTAGAACATTTATAAATCAATATACCAAATGAGTACCTCGTGAAAGAAGACCTGCTTAAGTTAGTTTATGAATGTACTATGTTTGGAAAAAAATCAAGTGTAAATAAGAAGTGACTAGTATCTCTTGCTATTATATCCTACTATATTGGTAATTTTCAGAGGGGTTGACTTGCAGGAAAATGAAAGAGCAACACCAGAGAGAGTAAAGGGCTAGGAGGAGATGGGCTGAAGGTTATACAAAGGGCTGGCCCTTTGTGATGTGGTTTTTCTTTTAACTCCTCACTTAATTTCTTACTCCCAGCCTTATAGAATCACTTACTTAGATAAAAACAGTGGCTTTGAGATGAACAATTGGTCACTGTGGTACGTTTAGGAGCTTAGTTTTAGGGGAAGGAAAAATGGGGAGCAAAGATCCTCAAGGAATATCACTAATGGGAAGAATAAATATTTATGGTGATGGAGAATAGCAAAATTGAACTTGTACTTACAAATTGAGATTCCCGAGCTTTAGAAAACATTTTAGCAACATTGAGCCCGTCAATGACAATATCAAAAGGAGGATGGGATTTTACAAAGTTCTCAAATCTCTTCAGTTCCTAGAAAAGAAGTCAAACAAGACATTAACAAGAACTTAGTTTGGATTTCATTGTAAATATTCTATGGCAATATTATCATTTTGATAATTCAAAATATTCTTCCCTTAAAAGCATGCACACACACATACACACAAAAAATACTCTCAAAATGAAATCAGAACACTTGTAATCCCAGTTCTCTGGAGGCTGAGGCAGGAGCATCACAAGTTTGAGACTAACTTGTGTAACTTAGCAAGACCTTGTCTTAAAATAAAAAAAGGGAGGGATGCTGCCCAGTGGTAGAGTACTTGCCTAGCATGCACAAGGCTCTGGGTTCAAAACCCAATACCAAAGAAATCCCAAGAACCTAAAAAAGCCAGACTAATGGATACCACTACCTAGAATTACCTGATTAACACTTTTTAATTTCATAGTGCTTTACACTTCACAGTACTTTCACACGTAACTTTACTCGATCTATATCCAGCTGTCTAGATTGCTCAGTTGACCCAAATGAGTCATGAAGAGAATGAAATGTCAAAATCTCTGAGTCCTGTTCAGTAAGCCAAGGAGAAGTGAACTGCAGTTGCATCAGTTACTAGACGAACAAAGCTCAAGAAGCTGTAGCTCCTCTTATGGCATTAATCGGCTTTTGTTTGCTTATAGCTGTTTTGAAGAGTGGAAGATTCATCTAGTCACTCATTTAATATTTGTTTAGCTTCCACTTTATCCCTACCATTTTACCAAAAAGACAAAAATTCCTAACTTAAGGGAGCTTAATGGGAGGACACACACAATAAAACAAATGAATAAATTAAATTAAATCTGAAATATGGTAAGTGCTATGGAGAAAAAAAAGGAAGGGAGGGTGTTCCATGTCTGATAATGATGCAATAGTTTGTACTGGAATGCTAGATGATAATGTAAGTTCTAGATTAAAAACTGACTATAGGGCTAGGGTATAGCTTGTGGCAGAGTGCTTCATGAGGCCCTGGGTTCCATCCCTAGCACCAAAAAAAACAAAATCAAAACTAAAACAAAAAACCAATCATATGGCTGAACATACTAAAGAATGACCAAGACTACATGCCAGTCGCCCCAGCACTTAGAAGGCTGAAGGAGGAATTGCGAGTTCAAGGCGAGCACGAACTCACAGTTCAAGACCCAGTTATGAACAAACAAACAAACATCAAACACTAAAAACTAAAGTTGAGGTATGAGAACAACAAAAGAATTTTTGTTACCAAAGATTGAAAGAGACAAATTAAACATGACAGCTAAACACAATGTATGATTCTGAACTGGATCCAAGGGAAGGAAAAGCTTATAAAGGCTATTATTAGGACAAGTGACAAAAACGGGATCAACTGCAGATCAAGTAATATTACTGTTATCAGTGTCATAGAGATGAAGAACTCCCTTTCAGTCATTAGGGAAACTTTCCCAGAGAGTTATTACACACCTCTCAGAATGGCTGAGGCTCAAAAGATTGATAGGACAAGTATGTGGGGCAACTGGAACTATCAAACACAGAATGAAAAATGGTATAACAGCTTTGGAAAACAATCTGGCTTTTTTTTTTTATATAAAGTGAAACATACACTTATTATATAACTGAGCAATATCACTTCTGTGTATATACAGAAGAGAAATGAAGACACACACTCACACTAAGACTTAGATGTGAATGTTAATAGTGGATTTATTTCTAACTGGCAAAGCTGGAAAATTCAAAGTGGTGAATGAATGAATGAAAGAAAAGTGGGGCTGGGGATGTATCTCAGTGGCATTATACCTGCCTGGCAAGTGCAAGGTCCTGAGTTCAATCCCTGATACTGGAAAAAAAGAAAAAAAGTGGCACATCCAGACAACAGAATACTATTCTAGTATAAAGATTTGTATACAAATTTACGATATGGGTGAAACTCAAGTATATTGTTAAATGAGAAAAAGGTAGACATAAATGGCCAGTAATATAGTGTATGATTTCATTTTATATGAAATTCTAAAAGTGGAAAAACTGTATGTGCCAACAGAAAGCAGATTAATGATTCCACAGGTAGGAGAAGGAACTGAGTGTAATGAATATAAAGAAATTTTTAATGGATATAAATGTCCCATATCTTGATTATGGATGGAGGTGATTATACAACTGTACACATTTGTCAGAACTCACTGAATTTTTGTTGTTGTTGTTGTTACTGGGGATCAAACTCAGGACCTTGCACTTTCAAGGTAGGCGGTGGCACCACTGAGCTAAATCCCCAGCCCTAAATTATTTGGTTTTATTTGGTTCCAGGGATTGAACTTGGGTCCTTGAGCTTGCGAGGCAGGTGGTGGAACCACTGAGCTAAATCCCTGGCCCCTGAATTATTTATATATATGTATTTTTTCTTGGTGCTGGGAATGGAATCTGTAGTCTTGCACAGCTAGACAAGTGCTCTGTCACAGAGATACACCTCCAGATCCTGGATTATATATTAATTAACTTTATTATATATAAATTGCACCTTAATAAAGCTGATCTAAAAACAAAATACCAATACTAATACACAAATATATTTCATCTTTAAAATTACCACTGGTCCCTATGTATCCTTTTATTTCTCACTTGACCTCATTAGCTTTTCTATCTCTGCCAACTTCAGTTCCCTTCTAAGACCTTCCCTTCCACTCAGCAAAACACTTTGCTTTAAAATCTCTCTGCTTGCTGGGCAAAGTAGTGCCTGTCTGTAATCCCAGCACTTAGGAGGCTGAGGCAGGGGGACTGATATGAGTTCAAGGCCAGCCTGAACTACATAGTGAGACTCTGTCTCAAAAAATCAAAAATAAATAAAATCTCTCTCTGCTCAAGTATATTTCCTATAAAATGTTAGAGTTCAAATTACTATCAAAATTAAATATTGTTTGGAATAGGGATGCTTTTTATATAAATGAAAAATATCAAGGATGATTTTTCTTGTTTCAGTCTAAAACCCAACTAAATCTATGGAAACAGAACAAATTATTAATTTTTTTTTTTTGGTATTGGGTATTGAACTCGGGACCTTGTGCTTACGAGGCAGGTGGGAGAACCACTGAGCTAAATCCCCAGCCCTAAATTATTAAATTTCTAACAGTAAAGTTTCACTAATATATTCATCTCGGGAGTAATGACAAACTAAGGTAATTCATTGTTACTGAAAACAATCCAGGGTAAAACTAGATAATTTATAAAATTTCCCTCCAGTTCTGCTATTGTAGATGTTAGTAACACTTGGAAACCCCTTAAAATCACAGAATGGAAAAGGGTATACTTGAGATGGTTTACTTGAAAGGTGAGTCTCAGGAGCCTCTGTACAATCAACAGGATATGTAATGAAATCCCCCTCCAAAGATTATCCTCCTGATCCATGTCTTTTACTTAGAAAGCCAGAAAAATCCAAGATAGCAGGTTGCGCTTTTCTTCCCATTGCTAAAACTCCACTTACCAAGTGTACCAGCCAGGGATTCTCTGTAATACTTCCAGTGGGCCCTCAAGATGCATATTTATCAAACTAAATCTGTTATTGAACTCAAAAGCTACAGAATAGGGGCTGGGGATTTAGCTCAGTGGTGTTGCCGCCTGCCTCCCAAGTGCAAGATACTGAGTTCGATCCCTAGTACAAAAAAAAAAAAAAAAAAACCCTACTGAATAGGCCATGCAGATAAAGCACAGCAAAGAAAAAGCTGACCTACTGAGACAGCATAAGGCATTACAATCTGCAAGCTTAGCTGTTTTAATGGAAAGTAAATTCACATCAAGAATATCTTTCTAAAAAGTGAAAATAGAAGGAAAAAATGGAAACAAAGCTTCTATACCTACATAGAGAGGGGAGGGGGTTGAGGGAGGAATGGATAAAATAAAATTTATTTGAAAAAAGAATATCTTTCTAAGGCTACTGCTGGAATTGTACTTGAGTGCATATTGGCCAATGATCTGGGGTAGGAAAATCTTCCCATCTTTGAATTATTTGTTTTCTGATCACTAAATATTTTTTAAAGTTTTATCGAGAAATAATTAATATACCCTAAAATTCAATCATTTGAAAGTATAATTCACAAGGTGTGCAATATTACTATGATCCAATTTTAGAACATTTTGTCCCTCCTAGAAGAAACCCCATACTTACTGGAAGTTACACCTAACCATCTCACCACTACAAAGCAACTAGTAATCTACTCTGTCCCTATAAGTTTGCCTATTCTGAGTTCTTACTATAAACTCAGTTGTACAGATACGTGGTTTTTTGTGACTGAATTCTTTCATTTTGGATGATATTTTCAAGGTTTATCCATGTTGTAGCAGGAATCAATAATTCATTTCTTTTCATTGCCAAATATCTTATCACTGTATGGATATACTATGTCTTATCCATTCATCAGCTGGTGGACATTTGAGTTGTTTCCATTTTTTGCCTATAATGCTTCTATGAACATTTCCATACAAGTTTTGCAGGGGTGTACACTTTCATTTATTTTGTAATACCTAGGAATAGATTTATCCAGTCATATGGTAACTCTATATTTAACTTTTTGAGGAACAGCCAGGCTTTTCCAAAATAGCTGCACCATTTTACCTTCCCAACTGTAGTTATGAGGATTCCGACTTCACCACATCCGGACCAACATGGTTATTGTCTATTACAGCCATGCTTGTGGCTATGATGAGGCTTGCATCTCATCATAGTTTTGACACCTATTTGCCTAATGACTAACGATGTGGAGCTTCTTTCCATGTGTTCATTCGCCTATATGGAGCCTTTTATTTTTGTAATATATAGGCTTTTTAAGTTCAATGTATTTCTTCTTCAACAACAGTTACATCTTTTTTTGTACCAGAGATCAAACTCGGGACCTTGCAATTGCCATTGAGCTACATCCCTGGCCCAAGAGTCACAACTTTTATCATCATTTACTTATTTTATGCTTTCAAGACTAAATCTCCAAAGTGTAATTGCAAGGAACTGTAAATTATGATTTTCAGGGGCTGTTAACTCAAA